TCTGATATGATGGAAACACATGAGCTTTGAAAGTCCAGTAAAGACTGGAAGACAATCTGGAAGGGACATTTTGGGTGTATAAACAAGAGTAAATCACATAAACACAACGAGGGAACCAAATGGCTGTCGAATGTAAGGTGTGGAAAAGTGAGAGGAAGTCCTGCGAGGCAGGATGGAAAAGCAAAACACATTTTGGTTCCTTTAAACTTTAAATCAAGTAAAAATCACCATATTCCGGCAAAGGGATTTGCAAAATTTACATGAGATAATTGGGAAAATAATAAAAGACAGTCTGACTGCAAGATAATATGAGCCAGCGATGAGCTATGTGGTTATTTAAAGACTAAAAAAAATTTGAGTCACAGTAATAGAATTGCAGTGCCTTGAAAGCAGAAGAGAAACAGACCGTGGTCAAAGAAGTACACTTAATTCTAGGTATCACATTTTAGTTACAAACTAAACTCATCAAAAGTGAATCCAGGCAAGACACTGGACTAGAAACGAGTTTAATAAGTAAGCAACTAGGAACTCTGTCTTTTTTGGGGGGAGGGAGGTGAGGGACAGGCAGGGGAATGATTAAGTTTATTTATTTCTTTATACATTTATTTATTTTAATGAAGATACTGGGGATTAAATCCAGGACTTTACATGTGCTAGGCACGTGTTTTACCACGGAGCTAAACGCTTTCCCCAAAACTCTGTCTTACGTGGAATGATTGATGCATACTTGAAAAAGGTGTCTCAGAATATTTTGAGGGTGCATGTGGAAGAGGAATATATATATAGGGACTAGTCTCAAGGAGAGTAGAAGGAATCTATTAGAATCTCAGTACAGAAGAATCTCTACTACATAGAGCTACATAAAATGACGTGACGATGGTGACTTCACTGGAAATACTCTAGCTGAACTTAATGACCATATTTATCTGTGTCACACGAGGACTTCACACTAGCTGGGAAATTGCACTGAATGAACCCAAAGGTTTTTTTTTCTGACAATATGGTTTTATTAATATTTTAATTCCATTCATCAAGCTATGCTCAGACAAATGCTACTCCTCTGTACAATTGCAGTCAGATGCTAAATTGTGTAGCTGATTTCCACAACAGACACCTGCTGCAGGAAGCATGGGGATCTCGCCATTAGAAGACTTTTATTTATATTGGAGGACAATTTCCATGTTTCCCCATTTCAAAAAGAAGACAATTTCATACTGACTATAATTCAATAAAAAACAATAAAATAAAATAAAATAAAATAAAATAATAAAATGTTACAATGACAACAACAAAGAAGACAATTTCTGCATTTGGATCCAAGTTTTCAATCACGCTATCTAGTACTTGTTTTCAAAGAAGGTAGAAGCTTGAAAAATAGAGCCACTTCCCTGTCTATGCATTTTTAGCACACAGAGATTACAGAGTGGAGTCCTATGTCAACTGTTTACAAATAAAAATATTTGTTTTTATCCCATTCATAAGAGTTCCTAATCATTGTTGAAGCTGTTAGCTTAATGATCACATCTTCAAATTGAAATGGTTTTATTATCAAATTAAAAAACAGAAACACCTATTTGTGAATTGGACAATCATAATGGCTGTATGTGGTACTGAAGTTATTGCATTAATATAAGATCATTAATGCAAAAGCAAATGACCCAGGGCTGCAAGTCTGGGTTTAATAAAGCAGTGAAAAAACCCATCCAGTCTGGTCATGTTTGAATTTTCTCCCATTGACAGATTGGAATGTACATCCACCAACTGGCTTCTGGTAGGTACCCAATTCTGCACCTCTTACCTGATGTTCTACAGGTAAATTTTCCCTGCTTCTATTTTTACCAACTTTATCTTCCTTATGAGGGTGTTGGCTTACATTCCTGTGAATTAAGTTGTGCCGGTTTTTCTTCCAGCTCATACGGTGACCTATACAAAGAAAATAGTTTAGTTAGTTGCCTGACCTTTTAAATTCATTTTGCAGGAAATGAAATCATGTGCTTTTCTTGTAAGAGATGCTAATGCCACCCGGCAGTGTACAGGGTTAATTGTTATTTTAATGAAGATGACATGCAGCATTGGGTAAGAATACGATTTTAAAAGCTACAAGTGATGAGGGTCACATGTTAGTGGAGTGGCAAGTTTTTATGGCATTTTGCGAGGTCCATTCTAGGCTCACAATCATGTTATTCTTTGCCTAGTG